TTCTAACAACATTAGTTGTAATATTCAAGTCGAGACTCATATCGCCCTGCAATCCGATTTTTCCCCCGTAGTTTTCTCACTCCAGAAGAAATTCGCCCGGCTCAGCCTTATCATTTACGTAATGTCAACTGACCACATTATCAGATGCTAGTCACACTTCTACTTCCACTGCCATTACTCCGAAGTACACAGGAAATCGACAGCGCCATTGACCAACTTATTATACTATATTAGATGCCTTGATGTCCCCCATAGCCCATCAACGCACCTCGCTTCCAGCATCTGTAGTGAAGAAACGTTATACTCGAAATCACTGGTTGAGACATCGATCTCCTGTTCTAAAATCTTATTTAAACCTCATAACTAAAATTGTAAGACAACTTTTGGCGTCCATCCATGCGCAAAAGATTCATTTTCAAACCCCTCTGATCATACACTGTGGAACATAACTCGTCGTCTGCAATAGCTCTGTTTCCTGATGATACAGTACTTTATTCCTTCAATAGCAATCTTCAATCTGCCGTGAAAGATCTGCAGCATCACCTCTCATTATTTTCCAACTGGGCCAAAAAGTGGCACATTGAAATAAATCCAAATAAAAGCCAGACAAAAACATTTACCCTTCGTAGACCAGACGTTCCTCCATATCTCACATATCAATCACAAAACAACACCTGGCTCCCCCCCCAATAAAACTGTCAAATATCTTAGAGTCCTATTCGATATCAGGCTTACATGGCGGCAAAATATAAAACACGCGAAAATAGCGCTAGCGACTAGTAGAGTGCACCTGAAAGTGCACTATGCTTTACATATGCATACAACACTTGCATTCCAGAGTTAAAAATCAGAGTCCAAACAGATATCTAATGAATCTCAGTAAAAATTAGAGTACACATGCACGACCATTTACAATATGAATTATGTATCAGAAAGGAAAGAAAAGCAGTACAGACTAACACAGTTTTTACAAAGTTTTAATGATATCTTAATGGTTGAAAATTTTATTTTTATCATTTTCCCACTATACGAGTATGCATAGGCATGATGCGCCCAGGAGAGGACCATTGGGGCCATAGCCCTCTTGAAAATTCCGAAAGGGGAAATAGCCCTATTTAATAAACCTTTTAATTCCTTAAATCTTATCAGTTTGATTCCCTTTTTATAGATGATATTTTGGAAAATGTATACACACTCTTTGGGAAATAAGCTTTCCAAATCACCTGACATCCCTGCCAGTAGTCCAACATGATATCAATTGTATTTCTTAATTGTATCATAAAATTTAAAACTTCCTTCTCCTAGTATTTTTTTGTATACTAGAAAAATATATCATACGTAAACAAAAATAGTAATAGAAAAAGAAATATAGTTGACCCCCTTCTTGTTTTAAGCTGTACACGGCTATTACTGTATGTGTTGATGAATTTGGTTTTTATGAACCCCTCAACTTCAATGGTTACTTGTGGCTAACTGCGTAGTGATACTGTAACATTTTATAGCACTTGCATGGTAAAGAACACGTTTTTGCCTATTATTTTTCGATTATACTATAGGATACAAAAAGCCAGAATTTTAAATACACCATGTTACTGTCCCAAACTAAGAAGTAAAAGTTATAACTTAATGTAGGTAGACTAGCCATCAGCCTGTGGTACGCAAGTTATAAGTTATATTTTCGTTTGTGATAAATTAATACCACAGAGCCAAAGAACCAGTTTTACTTTATGCATTTAAAATCACAGAGCTACACACTGTATATAGAATTATGGGGAGTCAAGCAATTCTTGAGATCTGGAATCTATGTTATAACTCGTACACATATGAAGTTGAATTATGAATTCAGGTAGCAACGAGCGTTGTTGGCGAGAATTGATATGAAGATATTCGCTGCAGCGTAAATAAAAACTATTTTCAAGGCCACTCAGCTACATATTTCGGCTATTATTCCTTTAATGTCCTTCGTGACAATTGGACTCCAGAGTTGGTAGCCAAACTACTTGGCCGCGCTCCGTGATGTCACGGGGGTTGAACAATTCCAGACATCGAGTGAAGGGTCCCTGGATGAGTGGCCGTCTGGGAAACCCGAATACTAACGGCGCCAAGCCCCCGGAAGGTAGGGATAAAAGGCAATGGCATTAGGAGCCGTCTATAAATTACGTCTAAAGCAAATTTGGAGTATTTTGAATACCCCCTCTCCCCTTATAAAGCACCCCAACGCGCACTTAAACACCCCCGAAGTAATTACGTAACCCTTGCGGCAACACCCCCCTCCCTCTTGTAAACGCAAGAAGTGAATGTAAATTATAGCACAGTAAACACAATTTGTATTCATTTTACTTGTCTTGAATATTAAAATTTATGAAAATTAAAGTAGGAATTTGTTGACAATGCTGACTTCACCTAACAATAAGATTGCGGTCAAGTTGTGGGTGAAGGAAGGTCGCGTAGGCGAGACAATTTTTTATCACAAACCTTGCACGTGTATGACGCGTGAGCGAGCGATAGTCTACTGCGCCAATTTAAAGTACATACTACATATCAGTTTTGAATAATTTCTTCGCAATTTTACAGATTCAGTAGAAAATTATGAAAAAATATTTCCTTAACAATTTACATCTAACAACTTTAATTAATGTTTTTAAAACTTAGTGAATAGTTTAATGTTTAGTATAACACAAAAACAGGAATTATTTCAGCAAATGTTGAAAAATATATTTAAAAAAAGATCAATGTAACCCAACAATAAAGTAATAACCCCTTCCCCTATGTAACGCAGCGTAACGTTGCTTCAACACCCTCCCCCTCTTTCGGGTTACGTAATTTATGGATGATCTCTTTTGACAAAATTATTACATTCAAGGAGAATTACTCTATGTTTAATAACACGTTCAAGGGGAATTACTCAGTGTTCAATGCCGAATAACGGCTCAAAACTTTGTTACGAGAGTACAAGAATTAGGGTCCAATCGACTTAGTCTCCCAAGAACACGGAGAACGATTAGTTGAATAACTACATTCCCCACCGAGTTCAATAAAACGTTCACAGATAGTGATTTATGAAACTGTATTTTATTGAAGCACAATAAAACTCATGACACAGTTTCGATGTGTTAAATTAATATGTTTTATTCACTTCCAATCAAAATTCACACAATTACATACAATACGTACAATGCACATATGCTACTGCTTCATTTCATTGTTGTTTCTTCGGGGATTCCAACTCAATTGTAACAGGTCCATCATTCTCGATCTGAACATTCATGTACGCTCCAAATTTTCCATCTGTGAACACAATGTATTATTGCAAATCTGAGCTATCTTATCACTCAGAGGAAGTAAAGAAATAGATATAGCCTTCATGTCCGGTTGATTACACACAAAATTCATATTGCATCAATAGACAACTACGGCCTTAATACCGTTGGGACAGTTGCCGCATATACGGATTTTTTTTCGGATGCATCGCCATTAGCGTGAAGTATTAGCCAGCGGAGTGAGAGGGGAACGTTAAGGTTAGGGATATGAAAGTGAACTAGGGCAGGGTAATGGTGTCTCCGGTCATCACGGAACATCCACCCGACGACATTACGAAGAGATGGACTGCAGAAAGCCAGATGGATAGAAGAGGAAGTATGAAGCAGGGGGAAATGAGTGGCATGGCCAGTATTCATAAGAATTAGCTTATGATGAACAATAATGGTCTTAAGTAAGTTTCCTCTCTGGCCAACTCAGAGGGCAACTTCAAGTTGTTCACGTGATCCCTTTAGGATTCCCCTTACGCACCCGATCTGTAGTTCGATTCAGACGGTCTTTTCCTCGAAAGCAGGGAATCACATACAAATACCACAAAACCGCCGTGAGCGTGAAGCCCATCATCTAGGTCGAGCCTCAATGGACATAAGCTGAGGGGAGGCGAAGTTAGGGAAGATGTTTTTTGCAGACAGATCTCGAATGGGCTTTGGCGAGAGATAACTTCACTCTATCTAAATGTGCGCGAAAGCTGTTTATACTTATTCCACGACCGAACCAAAATGGAAGATTAGATATTCGATTTCTTCCTATTCATCTTTCTCACTTTCTGATAGGGTTTGGAGACTTGCGTGCGACTCCTCGTCCGCAGCAGAGGCGTCCTGTCAACTGGGGGGAGACCTTCCCGATACTTTGTGCGGCAGGTGACCGACATTTAGAGATGTTCTTTTTCGACTGACTTTCATTAAAAATGTAATGAAAAGGAAGAAAATCTTCTGAGAAATTAGCTTTATAGATAGCTTTTCAGCTATCCGGGACAGATCAATTCTTTGAATACTGATTGGGAATGTAAATAATATTTTGCCACGATTATTAAACTTTTATTTCCCAGCCAAAACTACCGCTCAAAAAATGATCGCTCGTTGGCATTGGCATAAAATGAAAATTGTAAAGAAATTTTGAGTCTGACAATTTTTCATGTAGAATTCCAGGGTTCCCTTGACCGCAATTCAGGAATGCAGGAGTGGAGGGAACCACCACAAGGAACTTCATGCTACCTTATCCGACAAATTTGTGAATACCAACAAAATTATAATAGTACCCATACCAATACATTTTGGGCTCAGCCATATATGGGCTAAGTGATTTCAGGCTATGGCATTATTAAAATAGGCATTTCTAATTAACGTTATTATCAAATACCTGTAACTAGGTGTAACACGTCAAAAATGATGGGACGAAATGAAACTATCCCATATTAACAATTTATTATAATGAATAGTAGAGAACAACTATGGAGTTAAGACACAATGAGGCATTTAAATTACCGAATCAATCAGAATAGATGGCTCTGATCCAAGCAATAAATTTAGCAGTAAGTTTTCAATTCGCAACAATTACAAGGGAAAATAACAAGTAGTGGATTCTGAGAAATAGTCTCCGACGTGAAGGCTAAAACTGTTATGGTGAAAGGAGTTTTGGTAAGTCAACCTGGTGGTGGGCAACTTGCAAAATAGGTTGACCTTTAGGTGGTCAACCTATTTTGCAAATTCTATTTTCTAGACTAGCAATTAAAGCCCCAATCACTCAAACTATTAAATTCCGTGCCTCGAAAACAAGCGAGTTGTACCGCTAGATGTCGTTTCAAGATCACTAAGTAACGCAGTAATTTCAAAGCAACCCAGTTTGTTTTCAATTTTTTATTCCTTATGGTCTTAACAGCTTGCTTATATTCTTTGGCAGTGTAGCATCAACCATAAGTAATAATAGAATAATCAAGTTTCTATCTTGCTCGTTACGTAAAACTAACGATGCACTTGTCATACGAGTTGCTGTCAGAAAAATTGCAATGTAACATAAACAGTATATCATTACAATTCCGTGGAACAGTTTGCTACATACCTTTAACTAGTTCAGGCTTGTACTGCCTCTTTAAAGTCATGAGAAAAGTTTGGTAAAACTCTTCTGAATTTTCAGCTGTCATAGCATTACGAAAATCCAGCTTGTTTCCTTTCAAACAGTGGTACAATGTAAACTGGCTGACACAAAGAATCTCCAGACCTTTTTCTTTTACACTAACATCCCATCTTTTACCATTTTCTCCATTAAACAATCTTATGTTCAATATTTTACGGACTCTGAAAGGATATATAAGTTAGTCACAAGAGTTCTGAAAGATAGTATCTTATAAAAGGAAACTCGAGAAGAACTTACATGTACTCAATGTCACTGGCAGAATCTTCGCGGGAAATCCCTATTAATACACAGAGGCCATTTCCAATTGAGCTAATAACTTCGCCATCCACTGAAAATAATTTTCAAAATATTAATTAAGACGGTTTTTATCACAATTTTACAAGAGGCACAGTTTCAATAATTCAATAAACACACGAGATGTAGAAAACAATTATTTAACAAGTAGCAATCAGACATATTGTACACAGATAACACTGGATTAATCAACGATAAAAACCTAGGCGCCGTTTCTATAAAGCTTTCCATATTGGTTCCATAGCTATGGTTTCAATACAATATATAAGTTCCATAGGCCGTGCACCGTTGCATAAAGCAAATTTATGGAATCTATAACCATAGATTCTACAAGAACTTTGAGATGCAACCAATAGGTAGCGACACAGTTGATATTTAAACACTACTTATTCCTTACAGCGTTATGCATGTTCTTATCATTGTTGCGTTCTATTGACGAGTTTTTGGTTGTGACGAGTTGTTGGTTGTATTCTCAATGACAATTTCTTTTTATTTCATTATTTTCATTTTAGTTAATTTTTTGATTAATTCTAATAGTATTTTAAATAGAATGAATTCTTTGTATTGTACCGTTTTTCGTGGTGAATTAAAACCAACACACAAGTATTATTTAAACAAAAACGTTTATTCGTGAACAATTATACACTAAAGTCTACTGACACTAAAAACTACTTGGTCTATTTAAAGATATATTACACTTAATTTTCTTTACACACGGCTCCCTTCTCTCGATTATGTATTTACACAGTTCACTTTTTACACACAATTTATTTACACTGTTCTCTTCTTTTACAGTATCACCCATTCCGATGCACTGACCACACATCCCTGCGCAGACCACACATCCCTGCGCAGACCACACTTCCCTGCGCAGACCACACTTGCCTGCGCAGACCACACTTCCCTGCGCAGACCACACTTCCCTGCGCAGACCACACTTCCCTGCGCAGACCACACTTCACTGCGCAGACCAGGGTCCACTGCACCACTGTTTACCGCGATGCACACTTCACAGCTCAGCTTCCACTGCAGACTTCAAACCGCTGACTGCTGTTCACCCACTTCACCACTGTTCACCGCAATGCACACTTTACAGCTCAGCTTCCACTTCAAAAACACTGACGGACTGACTGCTTCTCAGCTACTCACTAACTGACGTCTTACTGCTCACTGACTCGCGGCCGCCGGCAGCGGCATATTTATACCTGCCCGGCACTCGTCTCCATGCACCCGGCACATTCTCCGCGTTTCTCCGCGGCTCGCGAATTGTCCGGAACCTTCTAGTTCGGGGGGAAGGGAAGGGGCGTCGGCAGACGAGGCAATCCACGCGCAGCGAATTCGGCAGGTGATGCAATATTCATAACAATATTAACCATTCGGCTCGATCGTTCTTGATGAAATTTTGATAGTCTAAAGGACGTTTAAAAAAATGGTGCAGGTCTCATGTTGGTTGAAAATCCTGATTTTTCGACAATTGAAAAAATTCAACATTTTTTCGGCGTCATCCTAGAACTACAGTTACGAAGATATCTCTTTTTTCTTTAAGAAATGTGTTCATCAAAATCAGATTTTCAAATAAGGTTGTGTTGAATATTTCGAAAATATGAGTGTTTTTGGAGTAATTGGGCGTCAAAGTTAGTCGCCTGCTCTGAAAATCCTGCTTTTCTTATTCGTACTTTTATGCGGTTTTTGAGCAGTGGTAAGCTAGGTATGCTGCGCTTTCCCTGGAGAAAAGACAGATAAATGTAATTATTATATAGTGAAATCGCGACTCTCACCAATAATGAGAACTCAGCTAGGAGTTGAAGAGTACACTGGCGTGCGGAGCGTGTGACCAGAGCGCGGCCCTGCATCCAGTATACAACACTTATGCAGACAGAGACAGAAAGCGGGTGAAAGAGACGGAGGTCGTAGGCGCCGCCACCCGGCCTCAGCATTGTGACGTCCTCAGTGTAAGTACATTGGGGAGTTCGGGCATGCGCTCTTGACGTTTTTTGACTTTCCCCCCGCCAATAGCCCTGGCGGGGTGGTCGTTTAATGACATGTAGGGGTTACATGCGCCGCAGTTCTTCGTCTTTTGCGACAAAGAAGGGGGCAATGCTTAATAACTAATTTCTCACCTAACTTGGAAACTACTTAACTTGGAGACTACTTACTTGAAACTAACTTAACCTATGGAAGAAGCCGGCGCTTTGGCCGGCAACCTAAGATTCATTGCATGCTATTTGTATTTCCTAGTAAATTTTCCTTTCGATAGTCTTCGTGATTTTGTTTTCTCATTCACTCATACATTCGTACTAAGGTCCATTTACACTTATTTACATAGCTCACACGGCACTATATACACTACGTACACTGAACTATGCGCCGTTTAAGTAGTCCAAAATTTAATGAATTGGTCGCTCGACCATATCGAAAAAAATTCACATTTTATACATAAATTTCCTCATGTTTTGGCTGTTCAAAATCACCTTTAATTTATTTTTATTGTATCTAGTTTACAAATGGCGGCAATTTTTGTTTTACTCCGTTCGCCATCTTTGGTGTTTGTTAACTAAATTATTCAGCTCTGGGTTGTTCTAGCATTCTAGAATAAAAGGCTTTGAATTCATTATGCTCTGGCATATAAATCAAAATATTATTTAAATACCTTTTATGGTTTTATTTTAGAAATATTTACAATCAAATCTTTAGAATGCGAATGAACCAAGTTCGATTTTCAGGGCGTCATTTCTCAAAAAGGAATATAATGTCAACTTTAATTTTTTCTGTGCTTTTACATATAACAGCATAGTTTCTTTTTGTACAATATAATTGGTAAGTAACGAACACCTTGAAAATTACACCCTCTTAAAATTTGGACTTTTGGATTTTTTTCAAATTTCCAAGGGTAATATCTCCGTTGGGGGACCCAAAAAAAGCTGAAAATTGCACACATTATAGATCGTTATGATAAACTTCTGCAAAAATTTCAACTTTTAGATTTAACTCAAAGCATTTTTTTAAATTGTAAACTTTTGCCAAAAAAGGTTTCATTTCCACATTGAGGATACGTTGTGAGAAGTAATAGGCCTAATCATATTTTAAACTAAAATCTATTTTGATTTAAAATAATAAATTATACTTTACATATTAGACAAATTTTACGTTTATTAATAATAATTTTAATATTATTTTACTTTAAACAAATGTCTTAGAAAATATGGTCATTTTGATGTTAAAAGCTGAACCGGCTAATATAAAAAGATGACAAAGAAATAAATTCAGCATTTTGTTTATTTTTTCGTGTTTAAATTTGCCATTTTTATTATTTCTTAATGTTTTTTTAAGAGATATGGACAGTTGCAGAGTACTCCTTAGAATCAAAGATCGCGAATGAATTTCTGAAATAACTTTGGCTCATTATTACACGAATAACTACATTAGTGGTTCTACAACAGCACATACTCTCTCGCAATATTACAATGTTATCGTTATGTACGACGGGAGGCGGAATGTGTCGCGCTCAGCATCCGCCGCGTACCAGCAAATGCTACATTGCTGTCACCGCCTGGTGAGTGAACCGACCCCTCCGGCGCAGGCCGCCGCCCCAGACAAGTGAACTCTGCGCGCGCCATTCACGCGCATAAACGACGCCGCATCACAGTAGCAGGTTTGCACAGGAATTAGAAAAAATAGACAAGAGTGCAAGGTGTGTGTATGTAGGTGTGTTTGTGTGTGTGTAGAAAATAAAATGATACATTGTAACGCAAGAGAGCAAAAGTTAAAGAGCGTCTATGAATATTAATACAGTCTCAAGAAAAGAAGAGAAGTTTTAATGCATGCCAAAGATAAAATTCCATGTAACGTAATTTACGAGTAACCCATTTATGTATGTGTAACCATACACTTCAAAAACATTTAAAATTTACTAAAAGAAGTCGGGTTCCCGCAGAAACCACAGGCTTACATCATGACATGGACGTTTTGTCTTCAATAAATTTTTCGGTATCGAGGACCTATAAAATGGGGATTGAAACGAGATGTTATAGAGGAAGTAATTTACTACATATAGACATGAAATTGAACCAATTTTTCGTTACCAGACAGTAAATGTTTATAAAACAAATACCCGATTTAGAGCGCACGATTACAATACTTTCACTTCTTACTAAATAAAGCGAAAAATTAAACATGACTGAAATATATTTAATTTTATTTGTTGTTTGAGAAATTCAAATAATGGACTGAATTTGTTAAAACTGAATATGGTCAAAGAATGATAAATTGTTTTCTGCCTTCATTTTCGATTTGCGGGCTGCTGTACTTCCATTATACACAAAAACATATCATGTCAAGTGACACTCATAAGGGTCAGATATCAAATTGAAAAATTGAATTGCGTCTTAAAAAACTGGTTCAAAAAAGGTGATATTATAATTATTGATAAAAAATGTATGACAAGTGGTCACACTTTGCTCCCTAATAATTCGTAATTTGGATATACAGTGTGACGTCGTGGAATCTCACTACAAATCACAGACCAGGGCTAAACTATTCCAGATATATATTATATATACATACAACTCTGGTAGACTGTCCCCGGATCGCATTAGCGATTGGGGAATCGCACATGAACCTCATTGGTGATCGGAGGCAAGCGACTTCGCCCTGAGCCACGACAACACTTATGAATTTGTCCGGATGGCATCAGAATTTACATGTGGACGTCATGTCCCTGAAGTTGTCACCACCACAACCAAAATCACTGAAACCATTACCATTCGTTTGTACGTGGTTTGTACCCATTTGTACCACAAAACATTCGTTTATACCAAAACCACTTACAGATACAGCACTTTTTATTGTGGTGGAGCCAACTTCACACTGGCACCACCACCATCGTAAAAATATTTGAAAACATTATAAATCGTTAGTACCGGATAGTTCCATCAGAATTTTCGTTTGTACCAAAAAACTAATGAGCCATTTAATGAGGCGGTGGGAGGTGAACCGGAACTCTACCACCATTCTCGTCACAGCAATCGTAGAAAA